CATAAATAGACCTAAAGTTATAGGTAATAAACATTTCCAATTTAAATTTATTAATTGATTAAATTTAATACGAGGTAAAGTAGCTCTAACTCATATAAATATAAATAATAATAAACAAGTTTTTAGACCTAATGATAAAGGTTCTAAAAACATTAATAAAGAATCAGAAAATAAATAAGAAAAAGGAACTAAATATCCACCTAAGAACATAATATTAATAAGAGTACACATTGATATCATTGCACCATATTCCAATTTATCCTCTCTTTTAAGAGGGTTAGACTATACCTTCAACTAATCACTATTTTAGGTTTAATAACCATGATAGTGTTACTCTAATTAGTGTTAGCGTGTTACAAGAATTATTTAAATATCTCGTCCCGATCTTTAAATCGAAGTCGTTACGGGGAAAAGTTAAGGTAAATCATTTTTTTTTTTTGATTCATAATTTAGAGTATACAATAACCAATCTTCCCACGGTATTACCATAGTTATAAAAACCTTAGGCTTCACCGTTATGAGCTAATCTACGGTCATATTCACATATGAACCTGGGCGAATATATATTTAATATACAAACTCTCTATATCAGAGAAAAAAGTATAAAATTTTTAATCTCTTATTCATTTGGTTAAACAATTATTTAACCTTATTAAAATTCTCTAGGATTTAATGATGTTTAGTTAAAATTTTTTTTTTCATTTCTTGACAAAAATTTTTAAAATCTAAAGACTTATTACCGTATAAAGGATATTAATTAAAGAAGGATATAATATAATTCCTCAATAAATTTTATTTTAAAAATACTATCTTAATTAAATTATTTTTCTTATGAATCCAATAATGACCTAATCCTTTAAAAGAATCATTAACTTTTTTTATTAAAGCTTCATTTTTGAAATATTTTATTTAATAAAATATTTCGGAACTTATAACATAATCAGTAAAACTTATTTTATTTTTATGTATTCCTAAAGTAAAAGATCCATCTCCATTTATAAAACCAGCTATCCAATGACCATTTAAAGATTCGTCAGATAATTTATAAGATGGTATTTTATTTTTATTGATATCTGAAAATAATTTTAATAAACCATCATTAAATTCTTTTGATGATAAAGCTTTTAATACTATAACTTTATTTAATCTTTCTATAGTTAGATGCTGTTTAGCTAATATCATTTTATATACTTTTGACCAAAGATAAAAATTTATACTTTTGGTAGTTTGTAAAGAGAATTTTGTAAAATGTCTAAAAATAAATTCAGAAGAAACGCCAAAGGGGGATTCCCCTACGACAGAAACTTCTAAAATTCAATTTAATACTATTATCAAATTTAGCAATTTAAATACTTTCGGTATTATCAAAATAAGCATTAATTTGTTTAAAAGTTATCTATAGGATTTAGTATATTTAGCAACTAATCCATAACCTATACAAATTTGATAATCTATTTTATAACTTTTGCTTTTTCTAATTTCTATAATGAACTAACCCTCTGCATCTGTGTAATTTGTTATAAATCAAGAATAGATATCTAGTTTAGATTTATTAATTAAAGGAGCAGTTAATATAAGGGTTAATGTATAATCAATAGAATAACTGATATTATAGATAAAAAAAAACAAACCTGAAAAACCTAAAATAATAAAAAGAGCTAATTTATAATTTAAAGAGATTAAATGGTAAAATCGTATTTTCCTAAAATAAGTTCTTACCCAAAAAATACTAAATAATAAAATACAATTTTTGATATATAATAGGAACAATTTAAAATTATTTGAGCTAGTATCTGATAATAAGTATAATGACAAGTTACTAAAGAAAAGAATTAAAATTTTTAAAATTAAAACATCACCCAAAAAAATAAGTGCAAATGAAAAACTTGAATATTCAGTAAATGCACCTGAAACTAATTCAGATTCAGATTCAACTAAATCAAAAGGAACTCGATTAGTTTCAGCTAATGCAGAAATAAATAATATAGGGAATAAAGGAAGTAAAGGTAAAATAAATATTATTGAATGTTTTTGAAATAATATTATTTCATTAAGATTATATGAACTTACAGTACCAACCATAGTTAAAATAGTTAAACCTATAACTAATTCATAAGATATAAGTTGAGCTGTAGTTCTTAAAGAACCCATTAAAGAATATTTAGAATTTCCAGATCATCCAGCTAATATAATACCTACTACACTTATTGATGACATAGCTAATAAATATATTACTCCTAAATCCATATCACTTAAACTATAACCTGTACTAAATGGTATAGTAGCTCATCCTAATAAATTTACAGTAAAAATAATTAATGGTGCAGATAAAAAAAATATTTTATCTGATTGTGATGGTAAAATAGTTTCTTTTAATAATAATTTTACACCATCACTTAATGGTTGTAAAAGACCAAATAAACCTATATGGTTTGGTCCTACTCTTCTTTGCATTGAACCCATAATTTTTCTTTCTGCTAAAGTTAAATAAGCAATACCCAATAATACCGGTAAAATAACTACAATTATTTCAATTAAAAATAATAACATAATAAAAAAATAAATAAATAATATAAATATAAAATTTTTATATTTATATTATATGATAAATCTTAAAATTTTTATATATATAATAAATATTATATTTTTAAAATTTATCTAATTTTGATAATCACTTATTTATAAAATTAATATATAAAAATTATATATAAATATTAAGTATATGAATTAAAACATAAAGCAATAGGTCCTATCATTGCTAATAATAAATTTAAACTCATAAGAATTAATCAAAAAGCATAATTAGTATATAAAGAATAAGCAATTATTTTAATTTGATTTGTATTAGGTAATAAAGTATCTCATAATTCACTAGTAGTATTAGTTTCTTTTATAATATTTAATCCACCATTTAAATAATCAAATAATTGTCAAAAATTATTTGAATAAGAAGTTATTAAATGTATATTATTAAAATTATATATAATTTCTTCTAAATCTTGTTCTAATATTTTATATATTAATATAGTAATTATTAATATTATTGCTGCTAAAGGTAAATATTTAGTAAAAGAAAATTTTAATATATTTGAAAATTCTGGATATTTAGTATCTAACATCATAATAGCAAATAAAAATAATATTGATATTGCACCTACATATATCATAAAATATGCTAATCCTATAAAACTTATTGATAATATTAATAAATAACTTCCACTAAATAAAAATACTATTATTAAACTAATTATTGAATATATTGGATTAACTGATATTAATGTAAATATTGCTGCTAATAATGCTCCACTTATTAAAATAAATTCTGTTATTGTTTTTATCATTTTTTTTTTTTATTAAAAAATATTTTTTTTTTCAACCCCTCTCAACGGATTATTTACAATTTTATTATAATAATTTATTATATCCTTTACATATATTTATATATGTATTATTTTTTATTTAATTATTTAATAATTTTATCATAAATATATTTATGTTTTTTATAATAAAAATATTTTTAATGATAAATATTTAGATATATTATATAATTATTTAGTTTATTAAATTAAAAGTTATATTTATATTTATAAAAATTTATTAAATTAAATTTAGAAATATTTTTATACTTTTTATTTGATAAATAAATATTATATATAATATTTATTTAATTTATATATAATTAAATTAATTATATATAAAATTTTCATATTAAAATAAAATTATTTTTAAATATGTTAATTTTAATATATATTTATATATTCTTTTTAATATATTGAATTTATATTTAGATAACTTTATTATATAAATTAATATTTATTTATTTATAATTATAATTTTTATATTTTAATTTTATAAATGATATAATACTTATAATTTAAATATATTTTATTTTTATAATTTAAAGTGAAAAAATATTGATATCAATAATTTTATAAAAATAAAAATTATTTTACTTGAGTGTTTTAAAAGGAATTGGAATTTTTTATGGAGGGATGGAATATAATCATATAAGAAAGAATTCTAAAGGCTAAAGCTTTTTTCTATAATTACACTGACGCTGAGTAACTAAAGTATGGGTATCAAAAAGGATTAGAGACCCTATTAGTCCATACCATAAACGAGGAGTGTTAAAGATTATTATTGAAATAATTTTTTAATTTACGTTTTAAACACTCTACCTAGGGAGTAACGGGGCAACCTCGAAACCCAAAAGAAAAGACAGTCCTCTAAACCAGCAGTGGAGCATGTTGTTTAAATAGATGATCCGCAAAAAATCTTACCAATATTTGATATTCTATCTTATATGTATATTATAAGATTTGATTTTTTATATAAAAATCAACAGGCGTTACATGGCTGTTTTATTAGTTCTTGTTGTCAAACTTTTAGTTAAGTCTTACTAAAGAAATGCAACCCTATATTTGTAATTTTCTTTTTTTATTTTAATTAATAAAAAAAAAATTAATATAAATTTATATTAATACGTGCAAATATTTAATAAATTTATTTATTAAGGATAAAGACAAGTCATCATGACCTTTATATATTGGGCTATAGACGTGCTACAATAGTTTAAATAATAAGTAACAAATTTAATAAAATGAGTTAATCTATAACATAAACTACGTACGGATAAGACTCTGAAACTCGAGTATTTGAAGTAGGAATTGCTAGTAATCGTGGATCACAATGCTACGGTGAATTATTAACTAGATGGTGTACTAATCGCCCGTCAAGGAATGAAAGTAAATGAGATAGAAAACTTTTTATTATTTTATTAACAAAGTTTATATTTTTTAATTAGTTACTTTTCATTTATAATCAGTCCTAAGTCGTAACATAGTAACTGTAGGGGAACCTGCTGTTGAATTATTAAATCTTATAAAAAAATTTTTTTTCTTTTTTATTTTATTTATATAAAAATTAGAATATATATTATAATTTTTACTTTTTTTTAATTCTTTTTATATTTAAATTTTAATTTTTTTTAATTCTAATTTAAGAGTTTAGCTTAATTGGTAGAGCTTCTAGCTTACAACTAGAAAGAGGTGGTTCAAATCCATCAACTCTTATATAATTTAAATCTAAATAATATAATCATAATTTAATTATATTTAATATAAATAATTTATAGAATTATTTATTTTTATTTATCTATTATTAATTTATAATTTATTAAAATTTTAATTAGAATTTTAATAAATTATTTATATTAGATTATGAATTTACAACTTATATAATTTTATTGTCTATTATTAGGAGGAGTATTTTGTTTATAAAAAATTTTATAAGGGGGGTATATATAGTTTACCAATATATTTTTTTAATTGTCTATTATTAGGAGGAGTAATTTTGTTTATAAAAAATTTTATAAAGGTATATTTATTTTTTTGGTATTTTATATTTTTATTTATTAATTAATTAAATCTCCATATCTGTCTTCCTCTTTATGGAGATTTATATATTTAATAAATCTCCATATGTGTGTTTTTCCTTTATGGATATTTATTTATTTATTTTGTGTTGTTTATAATTTTATATTATTCTTTTGTGAAGATATAGGTTATGTACCTATTAGTTTTTTATGTCTTATTAATAAATTTATTTTTAAAAAGGTATATTTAAATTTTAATTTTTTTTATTAATTATATTGTATCTGTTATTATAAGATTATGTTCCGTAATTTTACGGAACATTTATTCTTTCTTTCTTAAAGTATTCTATTTATAAAATTTTTTATTTTTAAATAAATTAAAAAAATATTTTATTAATAAATTTCTATAAGTTCATACACTATCAATTATTAATAAATATTTAGATTTATTAATAAATTAATAATATTATACTAGTTATATTCTAAATTATCTATTTTTATTAATAAATTATATAATTTTTTATATTATAATAAAGATTATAAATAGTATAAAAATATAAATAAATTTTATATTTTTTATTATTTTATAAAGTATTATATAATAAATATAAGTATAACTTTATAAATATAGTAATATTATATAATATTTATATTATAATTTTAATATAATTTAGTAAATATATTATAATATTTTATATTAATTTTATAAGTGTAATTTATAGATTATATATATTTTATAGTATAATTTATTTATATTAATAATTACTTAAATACTT